CCAATGCTTGACCACCCTTTCCGTGAAGAAATTTTTCCTAATATCCAATCTAAACCTCCCCTGGTGCAGCTTGAGCCCATTTCCTCTTGTTCTATCGTTATCTACTTGGGAGAAGAGACCAACACCCACCTCGCTACAAACCTTTCAGGTAGTTGTAGAGAGCGATAAGGTCTCCCCTCAGCCTCCTCTTCTCCAGACTAAACAACTTGCCTTATTCTTACCAAAACCTGCTGCTAGAGAAGTGGCTTGTCTTCCCAACATAGAAAAGTAACTTTAGAGAAAAATAATATTCTATATTCATGGAGAAGTGTTCATGCATGTGTGAAAAACCAGAAGTATTTTCCCCTTTCTGTAGCACTGCACTGGCTACTCTCTGTACTTCAGAAGTTATACTTTGTGTTTGTCTTTTACATTTCTTTCATTTCAACAGAAATGCTAGAGAAGTGACTCCTGGGATACAGTTTTTGATTGCACCAGTTTACAAGCCAGTCCCAGCCTCCCAGCTGGATTATTACAAGTGCAATAGTTGGTCTGGTTTGGGATGTCAAAATGAAAAGGTTAGGCAAGATTTACTGCTTCAGGCTTAACATTGAGTTTTCCTTGAAATAAACATGAATTTGTGGGTCTATAAAACATGTCCACTTTGAGGAAATGTGCTGAGAATTGCTGGTGGGGAGGAACTCTAATATGACTAATGAAGAAACTCTCTGTAGCACTGGGATGTGTTTGGGTGTCAGCTTTTTGCAGACAGAACCCAGCTTCATCCAAGCCTCAGAGAGAGGAAGGAAGGAGGAAAGAAGGGAAGAGGTACTCACCTACCCTATCAGCTCTTTATGGTTTTGATAAAAGTAAGTGCAATTGCAAAATCATATGCTTCCCTTGTGGTCAGATGAGTTGGTAAGAGTGAAACTAACTATAAGAAAGTACATTAAAAGCAGATCAGAGATTAAATCCTTATGGGACTTTTTCCTCTTGGATTCTGGCTGTTCGTTATAGACATCTGCTCTTGTAATCTTTTTACGTAATCCTAGATAGCTGCAGGCGTCTAGATTTCAGAACTGGTCAGGTTTTGTTATGACTCTTGGTATCTAAAATTCCTATGTTAGAAGTTTGATGGCTTTCATTTTTGTGCATCTCTGTAACCAAAAATCAAAAGCAATTATTCATCTTTTTGGCTGCAGGTATTGTAAAATGCAAACACACTAGCCCAGCGTTACGGGTGGCAGTATGGACTTTTGCTGTTAGCATTCACAGGCAGAAGCTTGTTGTAGCCTGGTCCTGTATATACCGCAACCAAAGCATTTTGCTCACAATAACCCTGCGCTGGGCTCTTAAATTTCTCAGAACGTTTCAGAACAGACATCTGTAGCAACAGGAACCTCCTTACAAAACGAATCACGTGTAAGGCCTATTAGTCTTCTGAGCTATGCACGTAGAGGTTTCAGACTAGGGAATCCAAACACTGGTGGCTGGATATTTATTTATGTATTAGGAAGCTGTGCATGAATGAAGCAGCAAAAAACCCCAAAAGACATTACTTCAAGCTAGTAATCTAGGCTGTTTAGTCAGTGTCTCAGCTTATAAATCCTTTTACAGGATGCCTTATCCTGTTTTAAGACAGATGTCGGAGATGGGTGGAAAGAATCGCATTCGAGGGATGCCTCTAACTCTCTGTTGACCATGGAAAGAATCAGCGTAAGCTCCGCAGCTTGCTTTCAGACAGCTGAAGGTAGAGGCAATGAATCCATCAAACGGATATCTAAATCTTTTTGCTAGTTCAGAGCACAAGATTGCATTCGCTTCATGGACAAGCAGGGTGAGCTTGGGTCTGCTTGCAAGACTGTTTGAACACATCCCTAATTCGTCCTGACCTTCTCATGGACAAGCATAATGGGCTCTATTTCTCATCAGTCATGTATCGCAGCGGGCAGCACATTCTTGCAAATTGTCCCAGATACTCTCTGGATTTGAAACTTGTTTTGTTTTATTGAATGCTGGCTATGGAAATGGTCTCACTAATGCTTATGCAGGGACAGTACTACTTCTAGCTAATAATCCTCTGCTTATATACAGAAGCTTATCTAGATACAGTTCTGCATTAGGAGATTGTTTAGTCAGTCTTCTTTTATTATCCCATTTTCAGAAAGATTCAGAAAGAATTGCTACTTTCTGAAACAGTCTCTCAACCTGTAATAAAATATATATTCTATGAGCAAACTAACTATTTTAAAATCTGAAATTACGCTTAAAATCCCATATTATTTCAAACACAGGCAAAACCACCCTTCTTGTTTAGCATTTTTTTATTCTAGGATCCTGGTTTGCTCATGAGATCTTAATTTCATTTAGAACTCTAACATCCCTAACGTGAGTAGATGAATACAGTTTCTTCTCCTGCAAATGTGGCATGTAATGTTGTGCCTTCTGCAAGAGTTCCCAAAGGTTCCTAAGTCAGATTGGAAGCTTGGCTGTGATAAATACATATAAAAGGTACGATGTATAGGACTAAGAGGTCTGCAGCATTAGTCACCAGAGAACTGCAGGTAGATTTTTATGTAATTTCTTCCACTCATGGGCATTCATTGACCTTTCATCTATGATTTGTCACTATAGAAAGAAAAGAGGAAAAGGCAACCTGGTGAGCTTTTCACTTGAGCAAGGGCTATGAAATCCTTCAATCCCCTATAAAGTGCCAGCTGGATCAGATGTCACAAACAGAAAAACTATGGCTGGCACAGCAGATCCATCAACTTCAGTAAGTAAATGCCACCAACCCTGAATCTGTATTATTATTAGATCTTACATCTGGATCTTTGGCGTAAGTGAACATGATGCAAGAGGTTGTAAAAATCACATGGCACCCCTTCGAATATTGTAATAAAGAGACAGAAAAGACTTGTTGGATCTCATACCTCAGTTTGCTGCCAGTGCAGAGAAACATGAGGGAGCCCCAAGGGTAAATGTGAGCAATAAAACTCACTGAGTTGACTGAAGGAATATCAATTCGGTGTTAGTGAAACAGCAAATGCCAGGAGACCAATCAGTTAAAATACAATGATGCGCAAGTACCTGCAGATCTGCATGTGGGAAGTGTTCTTCTCCCTGTGCTTCTTTTAGGTCCTAATCCAGCAACGCATGTGTGGAAGTGCCTTACCGTATCAGGCCCAAGGACATTTAAATTACAAATGAAAAGATTGTCTGCAACTAAATGCAGATGATAGGTTGAGGGACACAGATTATTCTGTGATTAAGTGGCTATATGTTTTATTGATCAGTAAGGGGCATGAAAAGTGAGCCTTAAAAAGTTATTTCTTCCTGCTTCCACTTCAAATTCATTGACAGTTGTATTTTACTTATATTTTTCTTTCATCTTATTGTTAAAGGTTGGCAAAGACTAGAATGTTAATTTTAGTGTGTATAAATAATTTATTGAATAATAATATATGAAAATGAATTTGGTATGTTTCTCTATATGAATGACATTCTATTATTGAAATTTATTAATCAGCACATTCCACTCCATCAAACCTAAATTTTTTGAGGAAGAGGAGGGGAGGAGGTGGAGACGCGGTTTGGAAAAATGCAGTACAGTTGGCTGACTAAATCTGAATACTTGCTCTCTGAAAATGCAGATATCAGTGTAACTCAAATCATACTGATGAGATACAGAACAGTTATATGCAGTCATAATAACAATTTATATACCGTCAATATTAATAGCAGTGTCTGTTTGAGAATACAGTTTTAAAATAGGTACGTACAATTTTATTAAGTATAAAAAGATGCCGTGCAGAGCACAATACAATATATTTCATCTTTAATTCTGGTAGTTCTCGAACGCCACTGTCTTAATTGATATTGTCACCAACGATCACTGGATAGAATTACTTGTCTGTATAAAATGAGGCTTCTCTGGATGAATTCATGCTGTTTGGTTTTAAAAATACAGTAATTTCCCTTCAATGGCTACTTACACTAATCAAACACTGTCAAGATGTTGGTTAGCCTGCATTTGGTTTCTAACATATACTGTGATACTGCCGATTTCCCCTGTTTTGCTTTGCCTCTCTCTGCTTGAGAATAGATCCTCCAAAATATTACTTGTTTCTGACTTTGTTCCAAGTTCACAACCAGAACACTAGTTCAGACCATTGCTACATTCCTCACGTTGCTAAACTTTCACTGTTTTCAACATGCAAGGACTGTAGGGTTATCCCCTACACTCCTTTTCTCCCCCAGTCATTTCTAATGAAGCATAGAAGGCATGCTGAAAATGATTATTTTTTAGAATTTGGGGGTTCCATTTTCTTATTTTCTTGAATGTAGATGACATTTATAGCCTTCCAGCTTTGACTATTTTCTTTGGAAAAGCAGACATGTAAACTTAAGAACTTAGTTATGTATTTTGTTTGCACATTCCAATTTGGTTTAATTAAAAAAAAAGTCAGAACTCTAACTTCAAATTGATTTAAATGATAATGTACAAGTCTTAAAAGAAACAACTTACACTTCCTCCTCTCTAAAATATATTAACATTAGACTGGAAAATAAATTAAAGAATACAGAAAAGCCAAGATTATGCTATCACAGTAATATCTGCCAAACAAAGCTTGGTCTTTTGCTAACATTAGCTTACTACATTTGCAATACATGCTAAGCAAAGACCCTACTTCTCTAACAGGTACATTCAGACAATATATATTTTATGGAATAAATATATAATATATCCAGTTATAGATTTCTGAATAGTAACTATAATAGATACAAGCAATACCTACGTTTAAAAATACAGTTCTAGGATTCCCTAACTTTACTACTAATAAAATTAAAGTTGACCTAAAACTTTCTCACTCTGTTGATGCATAATAAAATATATGGAAACACCAAGAGTAAAAAGCCAATTGCTTCTACAAATGGAATACTTTATAAATATAGTAAATTGCTATTTCCAGAGGGAAAATTGAAAATTATAAACAGGAAGTTAGGTTAAAACAGCTCTACAATATATAGTACAAAGTGGCTATGAAGCGTGATGTATGAGTTTGACGTCTGTGATAAAATTTGGATCTGATGTAGTTGTTCATTTCTGGAGATAACTGTAGAGAAAGATTCTGTGCCCGAAAGCAGCCAATCTTGATCTCCTTAAAACACAACTTTCAGTGACTAGAGAAAGGCAATGGGCCAATTTGTCAGACTAAGGAGTGCAAGATTAGATCAAACAGAATTATTTGGAAGCCCTAGACTTCTCTGTTTCATAGGGTTTACCTACCATGCTGTTCTCATTAGGAACAGAGTCACAGAAATATTATGTATCTGTGACTGCCATGTGCTGAAAAGCCTTATCATGAAGGTACCCTCCCTATGGCTGCCTTAACTACATTATTCTGGTACTGCACATTCTCCAGATGAATTCTGTTTGTATTCCTGTAGTTGTTTCCTTTTGCTGGAATACTGAAGTACAGCTCTGGTTGCTTGATTACTAAACTCTTGATCGAGGCTTTTTTTTTCTTGAGAATAACCTAGAATTAAAGAAACACATTTCTCAGAGCAAGCACAAGGAATTGAGGAATTAAGTTGCTGGCTGTCTCTGCCTGCCTTTCTTCCATTTCAGTTTAAAGAAAAAATTCACATCAGTAAAAATACCTTACTTGCTAATGAAAAGATTTAGGTAACTGAAAAAATGAAAAACTTTATGTGAGACTGTGCCGTTTTGATGTTCATCTCCAGCAATGGATGTATTTTACACAGAAACCCCAAACTTCCTTCATTAAATACTACTGTTTATACCTCCTGCCTGAGTTGAGGCCCTGAGGTGGGATTCAGATCCACCTTGGAGCCTTTGTTTGCATCAACAAAGCTGGAATTCTGGTCATCACAGGACAGGGGGTCTACAAGGTGGTGGTTTTTTTTCACCTAAATATCAACAGAGGTCAGTGTCAACATTAATAATGATGAAACCATCACTGGGAGCTTCAGTTTCTGACCATTTCGGGACCTTATGAGTCACTTGTAGGCTTTTACTGGCATAAACATCCTGTTTTGGGAACACCTGGTATGAGATGCAGAGGATTGGGATGCAAGTCATTGGGACATGCTTCCTACTTGATTTCAGTTGGGCAAATGGAGCATATCTATAAATGTATTCGTGTCACAAACTCTCACTGATTTCAGAAAAACAGCATATATGGAGAATCCCTGTACCTCACATGCCATGTGTTTTGACTACACTGGGAAACTTGCAAGCTTCTCGGAAGCTATTGTAATATTCAGTCAAAAGTGAATGTAATACTTCCTATCAAACTGGAGATGAGAAGTAAGCACTTGTGGATTCCCTGCAGAGGAACCACAGAGCGAAGTCTGAGTTCCCTGTGGCAGGGAAGGGACTAGGAAGGCTTTTCTTCCTGTACCAGCAGCAAATCTTGATGTTCTGTGGCAGAGTGGTAATAGACTATTTGAGAATACTTTAAACTGTGTCTAAATCTGGTAGCATATTCTTACCTGTCACAAACGCTCTGCTTTTTAATTAAAAAATGTTCCCAGGAACTACAGACTTCTTATGCAGTCTTGCTTGCAGGTAAGCCAGAGCCGCATAGTGGCTATTGATCTCGGGGTTATTAGTTGGAAATCGGCTCCAGAATTTGTTAGGGCCTTTCACCTATTTTCAAAACTCATTTTTACTGGGACAGAGCCTGTGGAAATGTACCAAAGCATGAGCTCTGATCATCCTCCCAGCAGTACGCGTTTGCCGGGGCTCCGAGGGCGCTGCCAGCCCTGACTGTCCCTGACCCCTCCCCGGGGGTCCCCTCACCCTGGCCCTGGCCCGGGACCCCATGTCAGACCCCGGGGCTCCCCTGACCCTGCCCACAGCCCAGGACCCCATGTCAGCTGCCGGGTCAGCGTGGCCTCAGCCGGTCACCATCCCCAGGGAAGTGCCCGATGCCTGGGGCTGCCCCAGTGCCCCCCAGCTGCCGCGCTCCTGGCTGGGGGTGGGATGGGACCCAGCGACAGGTCCTGCCCCGATGGACCCCTGGTCCTCATGAGCTGCTGGCCCAGGCGGGCGCCCTCAGTGGGCTTTAGGGAAGACCAATGAATCCTCTCACCTACGACATATGGTTTTGCTGTGTAGTTTGCTGCTGTTGCTGCTGCTGAATGAGCAATTGCTGCTGTTGCCGGCGCCGGGCTGTTCTCAGTTTTTCGAAGCGAGCCTCCATCTCCTCCAGCACTTTGGGAGTGTAGCGGACCACCAGCTTGACGCTGTCCTTAGCCGCCTTCAGCAGCTCCACCGCCTTCTCGTGGTGCTCTCCTTCCACGCTCTGGGAGCAGGGAGAACAGATTTAATAACAAAAATGCTGCTTTGATCTAGAGCTCTGTCCTCTTTTTCATATGGAAAGGCTGTTGGGGTTTTAGGAAGTTTCCACAACTTACATTTTTTCAAGAGACCATTAAGGGAAAGTGTTAGTTAAGTGAGATTTATGCACTGCTGGGAATGTATTCATTTTCATATTTTAAATAACCCAATTTCTGATCTGTGTGAAGAGGAGGGGAAATACTCAACAAGCTTTATGCAAACAAAAATAATGTTAAAAACCCTGAAAGCCCGCAGTAAAATCCCAAACAGTCTGTTTGCAAAGTACAAAAATAAGTATTTAAATGTTGGTAAGAAATGAAGAAATTGCAAGTTTGAAACTGCAATTACTTTTTTACACCTTGGCCCTGTTTGGATCCTGCAGGGAACGCCATGTGGTGATTAAGCAGCCGCTGAGCTGCAGGTGAAGGAGCGCACCCGCTGCTCCCGGGGACAAGCCTCGTCTTAGTTAATGGCATTGCTCACACGTTTTAACATTTATGTGATACAGGTTCTCTATTGGAAATAAAGTAGTCTTAATCCGGTTAGTTGTAAGCAATCAAACACTAACTACTGAAACATTGCAAGTTCTTGCTGAAGGAATATATATTTTCCTTCCCTTTCTGGAAAATGGTTTACAGTAAGATGATATCTGCTGTGAAATCAAAAGTATTCCCAAAGGGGCTCAAGCTCTGATTTCTACTAACATTGTTTGAAACAGTAAATTTCCGAAAGGGGGAGGTGACTCGGCTGTGAAAAGAGCATTTAATTTCTACCATTAAGTGGACTGACTGGAGTGCTTTTCAGGCATGTGGATTGTTCCACACCTTAAGAGAAAGGGAGAAATTTTCTAATGGTGTATGACTGGCCATGTGTGCTGTAGGATACATTCCAATAAACAAAAGTATCTCTGCACAGAAAAAAAAAAAAAGACTGCACAACTGAGATCTTCACATGGATTTTAGACCACTTAAAAAATAAGTAATTTTCTTCCCACATAAAATAAATCGAAGTTTTACTACATGCTGTGTTTTAAAACTCTTATGTATACCATGCTATTTAAAATGAAGCTATACCCATAGGCCTCCAAAGAGAAGCAGCAGCATTCAAAATATTTGAAGTTCAATTCATGCTAAAAGAATAACTTAGTATTGTTATAGCAACTGTCAGAAGAAAAATTCTTTCTATTTTCATTTCTCCTATTTGACTGAGTAGCATTGTGCAAGAGCAGTGAATACGAATTACTTCTGCTGTGGCACACTATGAGCTAGAAATAATGATTTAAAAGTTTCAAAAAGCAGACACAGTACACTTCTACATAAATAATATAAACAACACAATTTAAGCTTATTGCCTTGCTATTTATCTTTCTTCTCCTGTTAAATATCCTTCAAGATATTAATACAAATAATTATTTCATGTATGGGTCAACTGACTGGACTGGAGTTTCTACAGAAATGTTAAGATGCTTCAAAAATATTAATGCAACTTAGAGAAATAATGAACGTCATTTCAGGTACTGAAATGATTACCAGAAACAGAGAAAACCTTGAAGTAAATAGACGTTTCATTGTTGAAATAAATTACTTCATGTTTTTGAACTGCATGTTCATGAAATTCCTACAGTAGGTCTCTTATTCAAACACCTTCAAGAAAATTCATGATCTGTGATGACCAGTTTTGTTAGAAATTGTGATTGGGATAAATCTGCTGAACAAGCACTGCTGCCCAAAAGTAGTTTGGAGAAAAAGGTGTTTCCTTACAAATATTTGAAAAAAAAGGAAATTGTTGTTGCATAAGAAACAGTGAATGTACCTAATGCTCAGAGAGCGCTAAAATAAAAAGCTATAGATGCACAGGGTGTTTTGTGAAATTGCTTTAATGAACAAGTCACAGATACACATTAAAAACCCTTCCCCACATCCCCTACGCTGTAACTGCTCAATGTTACAAGAGGCAATCACAACTAACACATACGGTAACTAGCTATCTTTTATAACTCATTGCTTTGTGACTGGCTTTGATACTGGGCTTTTGTAAACACAGTTCTCGCCTTAAGAGGAACCGTATAAAATTTGGTATTGGTTTATGTTTCATTTTTTGCTTGGGGATCGTGGTCGGTCTGATGTGGCATGGACATTCAGAGGAAACGAGTGTACTCAATGTTGTCGTGATCAGTTTTGCTGTGGAACAGTATGAACTTAGAACAGGCTATGAACAAAAATTGTAAGCTCCCAAGTGACATGAAGTAGCTAAAATATTCTTTTGCTTTCAAACAATTGGATGGTTCTAACTGACATCGATAAGTAACTGTGACTGTATCTGTTCTGTAGGGGAATAACAAGATGGTGTACTTCATACAACTTAGTAAACTGTATTTAATTCATGATTGCCTGTTTTCTTTCCCATTTGCCTCCAGCCTTGTTCTTCCAGTTGAGAGCCAGTATTTTCTAGTTAGAAATGAATGGTTTGACTCTGTTGCTATCCAGGTCAATGGAAAACTGCCATTGACTTGAACAGTAATGATACAGAATTAAGCCTAAAGCTCTGAACCATAACCAAAGAGGGGAAAATAACAAAGGCAAAGTAAAAGATAGTGCTGCTAAATACAAAGCCTACTCTCCAAATGTACCTAACTCAGGTCTTAACAACTACAGTTTTCAGCTGCAATTAATATGATTGCTATACTTGCCCTTAACGTCTTCATTGCTGCTTGCACTCGTCTTTCCAAGGCATTACAAATGCTTCACCTGCATAGCAGTAGCTGCACAACTTAAACAGCAGAGCCCCTTGGAGTAGGGAAAAGAGCTTATATCAGCAAAGGAAGTTGTTTTGCTGTTTGAATTCTTCTGCCTCTGCAACTCTCTGAGGCTGTGCTGTTGAAGGACTCCTGCTGGTATCAGTCATGCCTGTACAAGGGATTTTGCTGACTGGATTACACTGGTTGGAGACATTGTGAAGATCTGACACTCGTGTTACTTTAGAACCGCCCACCAAACATGGGATTTAATAAATTTGTTTTGGAATGTATATATTTAATATATAATTTTTGATTACACATCTTTATATATACTTATGTCTGTATTTCCTTTATTGTATTGGCAGATTGTATCAAAAAAGGGATGTAAAATAATGTAGAGACAAGAACAGCTGAAAGAACTGCAGATATGGTATGGGGAAACACCAACCATTACTGTACTGCTCACAGACTTGTCATAAATATAAAAGAAAAAAATCCCATTCTCTTGCAGACAAAAAAAAAAAAAGAGAATTTGATTGTTACCCCACAAATTGAGAAACTGAGAAGAATATTTCTATCAGGTATCTCTAAGAAAATGCTTGGGTGAGAAATTAGCCATTATAAACCTATCTTGCATCCCTTTCTGTATCTGACTCACACCAGGTATCTGACAAATGCAGAATCTTTGCCAGATATGAACAGCCACCAGCAAGTGCCTTTGCTGAGCCATCTGCAGGGCTTACTGCTTTCAATTTCCTTTACTTTTAGGGGGTGTTGGACAAAAGTATGTAACAAAATCCCCAGCATAATTAGAAAACACTTTTTTTAACATCCGGTGAAACAGCTCAAGGAACAGTCATCCCAGTCATGCTGGGATAACAAATCTGGATTCTGAACACACAGCTCTAATTTTATGTTGATAATTATAAAGTTGGAAACCCACCAACTTCTGAGCACAAACAAGTTACGGATATTTCATTTTCATTTCATGTTCCACTGCTGAGCCGTCTGTTGTATTGTACATACTGTATATTATTTGCTTTTCTCTAGCTAAATTGAGAGAAGCACAAAGTGAACTAGTCTCAGAGAACAATGTTAAATTTAGACCTTTTTCCTCCTGTCTCAAGCTGTCTGCAAACAAATTACCACTTCTATAATTTTTGCCTTTTTATGAATTATATTGTATGGGCTTAATTCAGCCCAAGATTGGTGTATGAACAGTTACTCACAGGCATTATTTCAAGTACGCAACTGCAATTCAAACTGCAAAGTCTGTTGTTTAGACTCTGAATGCAAAAATATTTCTGTTGTAACTCAGATTCAACTTTCTCATGTGTCTACACGCAATTAGGGATTTTATATTGTGGTGTTTTGCTACATTAGCTTAATACATATTCTAGAGCACATTAATGAATTTTTTTGAAAAGAGTATTATGAAATAGAGGTGCCAACAGTCAAATTCAATGTATCTTGATGTCTGAAGGTTCACTACTTTCCTCCCCGGTATTTGCCTAGACACTGTTGACAGTAAAAGGATTTTTCAAGAACTATCCATCAGTTAGTGAGTATAAACTCTTTTTATCTGTCTTTTCATTCACCTGTTGCAAGAGGTGCTGAACAGCAACAAAATTATTTGATCTACTGCCAATCAGTGAAGTTCAGGCAATTTACTTATTAAATATTCAGTTGATTTCTTTTTCCCTAAGACTAAATAATCTTTTCAGTGGGTTTTCTTTTTTCTCATTTCTCAACATAAGAAAGTTGGTAATTTGTTTGTATCTTTTCTTTCTCATTGTGTAGAGGGGCAAGTAAACTTCCAGACCTATTATTGCTAGAAGTGGTGAATGAAGTGGTGAAAAGTCTGTCTGAAGTGTTGCACTGATACTTTGTTTCAAGAGAAAGTGAATAGCTACGGTTGAGAGAAACAGATGACAACATGAAAGCATGTAGAAAACAGCATTTTTTTCATTCTTTATGGGCTTGCAACAAAGAGGAAATTTAAGTTGGAAAGTCTTACATTTATGACTGGATTCAGGAATTGCTCCTACGTGCCTTTGGTGTATTTAAATACAAGGTTTAGATGGAGTTTTTTGCATGAAAAAGGATTACGTTTTCATTAAGTGTAGGGTTATATGAATGAGTATACTTACCCTTTCAGTACTTCACATTCCCTTGTAAAAGGGAACAAAAAGCAAAATGAAAGACAGAATTTGACCCATATCATGTAGTGAGAGCCTTATATTTCCTCTCTATTCCAAGAGCCCTTTTATTTTTACCTCCATACTGACATTCACAGTAAACTACTGCAAAACACTCCACCCTGAAGTATTGACTTACATGAAAAATGACTGTAAAAAATGTCCCTTTTTAGTGAAAATACATGCTCCCTGTATGTGTTCGTTTGTACAGCTGATTTCTCTGACAAAGATATCACAGCAGGATGAATGTCACTGAAAGAAATCTGGAATGTATCTTCCATTGCAAATCAGCACCAAATGTGCTTAGCAAATTTCTTTTGATTTTATGTGTTTGAATGCTCTGAAGGTCACAAGGCTGCACAAGTGCCACTGAGGCATCACTGTGCTTGGAATGGGCTGTGTGCCTCAGAGGCTATGAAGTGCAAGAACGACAAAGCCTGTTATTATGCTTTTACTGCAAAAGGAATTTGCAGAATTATCAGTTACGAAAGACACAGCCGCCTTGTAAATTAAGCATGTGGAGTGGATTTAAAATGAAGCTCTTCAAGTACCCTGCATTACAACAGAACTTGTAGAGGCACAAAGTTGTCGATGCAGCTTTGCCTCACTGCACCGCAAATGCATACTGAAGGTCTCTCACAGAGCTAATTCTTTTTGTTTCATATGGCTGCATTTTAAACCATGGTATTAGAACAGCTGTGAAAAATGAAAATCCAGATGAAAATGAAAGCTCTATCAAATTTCCACATACCACTCCATTAACTGAAAGCAGCTGGTCCCCCCGTTTGAGCCCTCCATGCCTTTCTGCCACTCCTCCAGGAATGATGCGAGAAATATAAATAGGTGAATTTTGTTCCTTTCCTCCCATGACATTAAAACCCAGGCCTTCATCAGTCTTTGGCAGCTCCACCACTCGCGGGTGTGAATGGCCTTCGCTTGCAGCAAAAGCAGCAACTGTTGCCTGGAAGAAAAAACCGAGTGATTTGGCTATGTAGGGAGAACACTGATATACACTCTGTTGTTCATTTGCAGGAAGAATTCATTCCTGTGAAAACATTTCAGTATCTTACTCTGACTTTTTCTGACTATCTGAAAGCATTTTAAAAATATTAAGTTCCATGCCAATGCTTTTGAAATAAAGGAATAAGCAGAGGAATAGAGAGTTTAGGTGACTTGTCAAAGATAACGCAGAAAGTCAGCAGCAGAACCAGAAGTAGGTGCCGGGAAGCCTGACTGCGTGGTGGTGAACACTTATGATCACTAGTGCATTTCTTCTTTGCCTTTCACAGGGAGAAAATTTATTACTGTGTGATAAGATCTCTCCTGTGCTCCTAGTTGAAATAAAGTGGATGAACTGAATTGTTAACTCTCTGCTCTGCTTTCAGAGGTATGGAATTATTTATTTTATTCTTTGGGCACAGAAAAAAATCCTAAAAGAATATTCTTGTTTCAAAAAGTTTGATTTATAATCTTTATGAAATCTTCCAAACTAAGTAACTCCAGGAACAGGAATATGAGTTTTTATAATATAATTGGATCAAAACATTTATTGAAAAATTAAATCTTAAGACAATGGATTTATAAATCAATTAGAAAAATCCTAGATTGTTAATCTTACTCTAGAACCGCCCCCCCACGTAACAAACTGTAAAGCTTGCATCCAGAAAAATATTACATCTTGTACTTCATTTCTCACTACAAGTATTTTCCTACTTATAGATCTTAGTAAATCATTAAAAAAACATTAAGAAAATATTTTATCCTTTTCATCGTGCGTTTGTAGTCCAAACTGCTTGAACAATTCTGCATTATGCTAATGTTTTTTGAGCATCCTAATAGTGCTTATGCTTAATAGAAGCTAGTGGATGACATGACATAATGGATCATTCTCAGTTACATGTTTTTGCACATGCAGACCTTGTCATCATGCATACTTTTTATGTCAGACATGAATGCACTAGGAGAATGCAATGCAGACAGCCCAGAAATAACCAGGAAATATTGCGATATTGAAACATTGCTCTGTAACCCTGCTGTTCTATATGAATAAGAAATGAGAATGGCAAACACTAATTGGATTTCTCCCCATTTACTATACAACATAGCAATACTTTCTATGTTAACTTGCAGTGTAGACAAATCAAGATTTCATATACACATTTCTCTATACAGAACCATAGACCTTACAAATTTACATTGTCCATTAACTTTCAATTAGAAGAAGGTTAAAATCAGAAGAACAGCCTACAGAAAAGAAGGTTCCATTTAGTAAGGAAAATACACTGCAATTTAGTGTATATTAGGTTATTTGCTGGCTACTATACAGCTTGCTTCTCTAAAATACTGTAGAAATAATTTTGTAACACACTCCCAAACTTCATCTTCTGATACAGCTTTAAATTTAAATCTCTTAACATAAATACATAATGGTAATATCTTAGTTCCATTAGGATTTCAGGGAGTTTTGTCACTAACTTCACAGGAGTGGGACCACAAAGAAGTATATCTAAAAGAGACTTATGGCTTTTGCAGGTTTACATGTTTTGCATAGTATCTGCTATACCACCCAGAAGACAGTGCTGAGTACAAAATGATAATGGGAAAAAGAAAGCCATGGTGGATCTCCCTGTTTGGAAGCATCTACCTTTGTGCATGTTATGAAAATACAGAGCATATTTCATACTGGCACATAGAATGGGTTCTTTCATGGTTGTGTGAATTCTCTTAGAAAATTATCATTTTAGTAGTAGCAGTAATATAGCTGTCATGGTCTAAGGATATGAGGAAGGCAGGTCCACATGGACAAAGAGACAATACATTTTATTAAAACAGTTAATGCATCAGAAAAAATGGGCTTGCATTTGGCTGTGGAGTCTCTTGATCGGGCCATTTTTGTCACTGTGCATCCTTACCACTTGCTCAGTACCTACAGTTCCCATTAGTTAAAAGTGGAATTTTGACTGTTTAGTTTCTATCTCCCAAACCATTGTGTCCTCTCTGGATGAGCTGTATGGGAAAACAGTCCATTAAAATATTGGTTGTTGCAGGCAGACTTCTACAGAATGAACCAGTAGATTTGCTTTTGCAAAGCAACTTTTCAAAAAGCATCAAATTCCATAAAATCATTCTCTTTTCTTAAGCTACAGAAGCAGCATAAAGGTTGAAATTTTCCATTATGATTGTTACCTGGGAAGTAGCACTGGTTCTAGACTCTGGGCTGCCACTGATGTCTAAATTTTCTTACAGTGTACACACGAATACCTGAAACACACACGCGCACAGTCAATTACTAGGTCACTTTGGTAACACATATTTAAACAGTTGCACGTATCCTACCTTTGCAGTGGCCCTGGCTCGGAATTCGGGGCAGCCATTAACAGTTATGGTTTCATGCATGTATTGATACACCTAAAATGTTCATGAAAATAAAATGAAATTAATTATAGAAGCAAAACAAAGTCTTTATATTAACCCAGACAGGACAGACCCTTTCCCTCATAAGACTATGTTTCACTAATGCTGTATTCATGCAATCACATAGTCAAGTGCCTGCTAAACTTGTGCATGCTCAGGTTTACAGAGAACATCAATCTGTGTTCCTCATGACACTTTGCAAACTTAACCGTACGTCTTCCAACACGATTCCCTTCCCAACTCTAGCACATCATTTCCCAAAATCAGGACAGTTAGGTTCTATGTTATCAAAAATTGGTGTCTCCAGGCAACTGATTTGAATGCAAATGATCTGAACTGATTTGAGAGATGTCTTAGCCTCCAACAATGGCTTCTTTGTTCTCTGAACTTTTCTATGAACTGAAGATTTCGGAGACTGATGTTAAAAAAAATATGGAAGTTGCTCAGCATACAGATGCTGAAGAATGGAAGTGAAAATTTAATTTTGAAGAAAGGTCACAGTACTGGTTTCCATCAACCACAGTCAGGAATGGCGAAAAGGGCTGGAAGTCTGTTAGGTCAGACATGGACAATGGGTAAGATTATCCTTTAGAAAGGAATCGTACATTCACATAAAAGGCATACAATCAACATTGTCAAAATGTACAACTTTCTGTCTGTTGTTTTTTTCTTGGTATATGCTCTTGGCCCGCTTTCTCTGGTCCTTAACTCTCCCCTTTAAACATCATCACTAAGCAGAAAGGGAACGGCTCTCTCACGCTGCCTTTGTTCTCTAAATTTGTCACACTCTTAGATGAAAAATATTAAAAAATGCCTTGATACTAGCCAGTTATTTTCAAAGCAAACTTAAAAAATAAAAATATTTATATATAACATATGGAATTTTTTTTGAAAGACAAAGGTGAATGCATACAAGCAAAACATTTTATTTAATTTTCTTATAAAACCACCAAACCTAAAAAAAATGTTCCTATATGTCACTGATTAACTCTGGGCATCTTCTTGACCTACTTCATCAGGAATTTTGTCTTTTCATGTGCTTTATGGCTCAGGCTGCATTCCTCAGAGAGAACCTTTGCTAGTAAAATATGTTAGATTTTACAGCAATCTCTTTCTTAGGGTCCTTGATGAGTGCAGATTCAATCATAATTTCCAAAATACATTTACCTTTCACTGATTTGGCGATACTTTAGCAGGAGTGTCAAAACTTCCCTCCTTGGTAATGTAAATGTTACTTTGGCAGAGAAGGTGTCAGATCCTGTACTTAATTGACTTATAAACAACGGCTCATCCCACTGATAGGTCAAACTTCCCCATCCCCCTGTCCTGATGACTTGTTATGCAGTATCATAGTGATGCATCTCTCTCCACTGATCCTGTTATTACAAAACTTACACACTGACAAACATATTGCTACGAGCATATAAACGGAATTAAGATGTGTGCCTCATTGCTGATCTCAGCGGACAGACATAGTGGTAATCAAACACTCTTGAGTAGTAAAATGTTTGGGATGACTGATCCGCAAACCTTTTTTTGAGGGATATCATACACAAGGGAAAGGCAAAAAAGGAAAGGAGATAACAAATGCAAACCACTCTAGAGATCTAAAATATGCGAAACATTTTCAAAGTACAGCAAAAAGATTATTTGTGTTGACTATTGCCAGCACATAAATAATTCCAGGACTTAATTCAGAAAAACTTGGGCCAGTGAAGAAAACTGAGAAAAGGGGAGCACGCCAAGAAGTTTCCCACTTTCTCTATTTGAAATGAAATCTTGCTTCCATTGGTAAAATTGACATTGACCTCAGTAGAGGCCAGGATTTTGCCCTTAATTTTAAAAATGTGGAAAAAGAAAGCTCTTTTATAGCCTCTAAAGGATCTCTGGTTTGTTCTATCTTTGTACTGGATGATGCCATCATAAAAATGGGTTGAGTCTACATACTCAGTATTATCCCGCACAGTTCAACGTTTATTGTATTATGTCATCGGACATATTCTTATATAAGAACAACTACTACATTATATAAGAAGAATACTGTGTAATGGCAGTAATCAATCACTAAATACCTGTTACTTCAAAACCTATACTGTATGCAACCACTGATAATGCTGTATGTTCTTGATATCTGCAGGTTCCCCTTCATCTTAAAGCATGAGAACAGATTGTACATATCGGTTTTGCTTGCACAGCTATAAATGCTGTGGCTGGCTATAATGTCTAAAAGCATATATTTGATTATTGAACTATTATGACACTAAATTCTTTTGAAAACAGGTTACAATATTTTAGATAAAGGAACAGTTACTAAGAAGTTCTTTAAAATATTTGTTACTAAGGTAGAATATCACAAAGGTGAGCTGATAATGATACATTCATGTGATTATTTGCTAGGTTTGATGTCATATAACTCTAAATTGTCTGCATCCTACCAGTATCTAGCTGGCAGGTTTCATAATATCCAATATCCTCATAACTAATTTGCATACTGGTGAAAGAACAAACTCACTAGCGTGTTATTTAACTAATGTGTTAAAAAAGAATCAACTGATTCAAAAACTGGTGAAAAATATGATCAATAATGTCATATAATCCTTGGGTTCATTTGTAAATTCTCAATGACAGATTTAAAATGGTGTTCTGCAGTTATCAGTGATCATAATATCTATAGCACAGTTCTTAGGAAAAGAAGTCTTGCACGTCAAATCTCACTCTCTATAAGCAATAGATGCGACCAGTCTTGAATATCTGCTTGAGGCATTCATAAATCTAATTCTCCTATTTGACTGTTACATAATGTTTAATGTAATTTGAGTTTAAGAAGGACAAAACATACACCTGCATAACTTTCTTATTATTGTCAGTTTAACGACCAAACACAGATTAACTGTACCTGTTTCACCAAGACCCTTAAAATCTTGTAGGGTTCAGATCTAATTATTGCTCATTCTAGCAATGCACAAAAAGCACACTGAAGTCCATAAATAATTGTTGTTTGCCTGTAGCCACACTAACCCCTTTATCTAGGCTGTTGTCAGCACCACCTTAGCCATGATTTGTGCACAACGAATCCATTCTGCTGCCTCTTCTATGTACACAGAACAGATAAACTGAAAATCTCTTTGTTCTCAAACTAAGTAAGGTGGCATTTAAACCCTCCCAGAGTGGAATATAGCTTCTTGTTCAATCCATTGTACATGACAAGTAATTGAAATGGTTTTATAAAATCTTTCAGTGCCTACTATTATCTGTACATCTGATTACATTTTTAACATATAGTGGTTCTCCTGAATCTAACAATGTCATCCTTAAGATGTCCTTATAAGATCTTCCTTATTTGGACAAAACTTCACTCAGTACAGAAGATGACAAAGGTGCAGGATTTAATTATAAGTATTTGAAAAGCTCTGTTAGGATATTTATTGAAGTCTGTTAAAACAGTGACCTTTGTTGACCATAACAGATGAATCATTTCAAAAGACATCATTGTGTAATACCAATAAGTTGAAGAAAGACAATTAACATATCATAGAATCACAGACTGGTTGAGGTTGGAAGGGGGCTCTAGAGGTCATCTTGTCCAACCCCCCTGCTCAAGCACGGCCACCTAGAGCTGGCTGCCCAGGACAGTATCTAGATGGTTACTATATGTTACTAATTTGAAAAAGAGCTGCATATCTATTTTTTTATATACAGATATTTCTTTTTTGAGTGTCTAAAAGACTACATGGGTGTTTCGTAATATTATTTGCTGACAGACTCCATACACAGTCTGATGGTCTAGTGCCTAGGGAAAAGAGTTTCCACAATTCATTAATAAATTACAGGTGAAACGTCAATGTTTCAAGACGCAAAGCTGCAGCTGTAAGGTAAATGGTAATGTTTCAGATAATTTTCCCCACACAGCGATTTCTAGCAAGATTGTCAGTGTCTGTATGCTGAACATTCATTGGGTAAAAGCATGCTGCAGACAGGGGTTTGTTCACAGAGCTCTCATTTGTGCTGTGGAGCTAGACGTACTTGGCTTTGTTTTCTCTTTCCTATGGTGCAGAGAATACAACACTCCCATCAAGAAATACTCCTGAAAAAACAAATATAGATCTCAGACCTTTTCAGCTTCTGCAGGTAGTCTCCTCAGACACCATAATCTGAAGTTGTTCTCCCACAGTACTCAAAAAATACAGAAGAGGGAGGGAGGAAAATTACAACTAGAAAATCTGAACTTGGAAGTGAATCCTCCTTGTACTGTGGCAGCTCTTGCTGGCACAGAGAAATGTGCATTTTATTACTTCTCTCAGCAGGAGCTGTAGTGAGTCAGATGCAGCAGGTATTATTGGTACGATGATGGTCCTCATCCCCACGCATTCAGCTGGGAGGCAAAGCAGCTGGTTTAGCATTACTGAAGCACGGGAAGGGGGACTACCTTACAGGTACTTCAGGAGCTAGCTTCTTAACAAAAATTACTCCATATGGACTCATAACAAAGCAGCATGTACTGGGCTGGCCTATTTAAGTCAATGCAAAGCTTTAGGAGGAGGTCCAGGAATAACAGTGCACTTAGCAGCCTGTTTTATAAAGGTGGTTAGAAGCAGCATTCTGTTTACGACCTGAATGATGCAGCATCTTTTCTGCTGAATTCTCAAAGTTACAATTTTATTAAACAGATTTTGTTCCATTAACTTCTGTAAGAGGTACTCAATGCTTCATCCCCTGATGAAACATTATGTAATTCTAAGTGCAGCTGTACCTACAATAATGATGCTCAATCGACTTCAGGACAACTTGGTCTGAACATCAGAAGGAATGAGGCAGAAATCATTTTACAGCAATGAACAAGTGTTCAAAAAAACCCACAGACAAAACCCAAGACAGACCACACTGCAATTCAGACCTGTGAAGTAGCAGGCCCAGATAAACTTTTCTGAGATTTTTAAGTGAGGAAGCAACCTTTTTGAAAAAGTGGGGTTTCTTAACACATGAGAGAACG